CCATCACACCGGGGGATGCGGGGGTTCTTACACCCATCACACCGGGCGATGCAGAGGTTCTTACACCCATCACACCGGGGGATGCGGGGGTTCCTACACCCATCACACCGGAGGATGTGGGGGGTTACTACACCCATCACACCGGGGGATGTGGGGGTTACTACACCCATCACACCGGGGGATACAGGGGTTCCTACACCCATCACACCGGGGGATGCAGGGGCTCTTACCCATGAAATGAAGCCATTGCACCATCTCCTGCCTCCCCCTCGCTTTCCCCAGGGTGAGAGCTCATGCCAGCAGAGTTTTCGGCTCCTAGGACAAAAGGCAACCAAGTCTAAGTGTATTCCTTTCTATTAAAACTGCCAAAACCAGTGTACTGCTGGGAATCTCACTTGACCGAGTGTCTTTCTTGACAGGACAACTGATGTGGACTGTGGTGTTGTCAGCATGCAGGAAGCAAGTAAATGTGCCCGTTTCAAAAGAGCACCCTGCCTTCCACGCACTTGGGTTAAGCTGAAACATGTTGCTGCTTTCCTTTTAAATCTTGCATTAAAATTGCAAGAGCAGAGCAATAAAGGCAAGTGATTTGTGGAGACTGGTTCTCCAGCACTGCCCCGAGTCGTGCAACATGTTGCAGCTAATTCAACCCATGCGTTAAGGCGTTTTACAAATCTCACAGCTGAGCGTTTGAATTTCTAGTTGCTAATGAGTGTAAAACAATGTCCAGGCTGTGTCTGATGGGATATTATGGAAGACAACTAGGAAAGCCTTGACCAAATTTCAGGCAGCAGCAGATGAATTTTTATGTGAGTTATTCAATAGAATTTCCTCACCCTGTATAAACAAATTTCAGGTGGTGATGCAGAAAGCATTGTCCACTTCTCTGCCTACCTTTCTGCCCAAGCTTCCAAAAGCAGCCAGGCTTACTCTGGATGCTCATCACTCACCAAGGATTATGTCTTCCAGGTGCAGGAAGACAAAAGAGAAGCTCACACCTTAGAGCTTTCTATACTCTATGTCATTTTACATGTGAATCATTTACGTGCAGGCAGGACAATCTCTTGGATTACCATGCTCCAAGCAAGTGGATGAAAAGGACACAGGGCAGGGACCTCCATGGGGCAAATCAGGTGAGGTATTGCTGTTACCTGAGCATGAGTCCCAACCTGCATGAGGTTCTCCAGCCCTCCCAGGGCAGGGCAGCCTGTGCTGGCCAAGGACAAGTGCCAGCCCGTGGCTAAAGGATTCCTTAGCAGTATCAGTGCCTTCTCCAGAAATGGTTCTGGAAAAGGAAAAAAATGAGAATTAACCACAACTTGGCTCCACTTATCACTTACTTTCCTGATCATCATCTGTGGTCCTTGCCTGATGTCACATGTCCATTTTCATAGGGATCTTCAAAACCTGTTTACCACCAGGGATTTCCCTTCAGCACAAAACATCCCTCTAAGTGTTTCCTAGAGCAATGGTACAGTGTTGCCCCACTCATGGCATGAATATCACTGCCTTCCCTTGATCATTCATAGACCAAACCATACAGTAGTGATATTTATGGCTTTGTCCTATCTCTGAACTAACCAACTGGACATAATGCCTGGTTAATCCCCACTAAGGCAGGAGCCAGGCTGTGCCATCTGCCAGCAGCGGCCGATTCGCCACCTTCCCTCCAGCCTTAATCCCAGCCTTTCCAGGGAGCATGTCTGCAATGGCATGCTCATTTGCTGTTTCCCTTATTTACTGCTCAGATGCAAGTTGCCAGAATTGTGCTTGCCAGCTGCCTGAAGCTTTCCAAGGAAGCACAAAGCCAGACCCATGGAAGACCATCAGCCCTTCATTCTTGCACCAAGTGTGAAACGTGCAGCATGAGCAGGTGCTGTGGTAATGAAATCAGGGAGCATCTCTGCTGGATGTTTTCCACATCCCATGTGATACCTGTTACACATCACCACTCCTCCCCAGAAAAAAAAAAGCACCTAAGCTGCATTTTTTCCCCAGCACCTTACCTCTTACTGACCTCTTGGCAAAGCCTCTGGAGTGTAGCTCAGCATTGTCAGTGTGGAGTTAGTAAAAGGTGGGAAAAACTCTACTTCCCTCCTCAGCAAGGCTGGGACCCCTTCCCTCTGGGAAGAAGGAACAGCCAACACTGTTGGCAGCAGCTCACAGTAAGGACATGTTTATCTCCATTGCGAACAGGTTACACATCACACCTGTGGCCAGGAAGACACATGTCTGCTCTAAATAAGATAAGACACGTTCAATGCATCTGGGATGGAAAAGGACTATTCCTATCTGTCCAGCTTAATCTTTCTGTTTTTCTACCTCTCCCTTTAGCAATCAGCTTGGAAAAATCACCAAAATATTCTGCAGTCAGCAATGAGCAGTGTGTTCCTGGCAGAAACAGGCCTGGGGTGTAAAGGCTTACATTGAAACCCTATGGAAGCACATTTCACTTGAAGAACATGAGCAGGGAACAGCATGTTGGAATCACAGCACCTGGGCTGTCATGGGGTCAGGAACACACCTTCCTATCTTGGCTTTCCCCAAGACTCTAACAAAGACAGAAAGAACCCCCATGATACTAAATCCTATTTCTTGACAGGCTGAACTGGAACTCACAGCAATTTCACATGGGGTTAAATGTACTTGACCACCAGAAGGCATGAAAGCAACCAAACCAGCCTGAAATACACCTGCAAACTTAAGACATCATCATAGCCGTGAAACCCAGAGAAGTCCTTGGGTGGCTCCTCACTGAATTCAGGAGGGGAAACTATCTCAGACCATGTGGATTCAATAATTTAAGACAGCCTAAAAGTAGTGCTCAGACATTTCAGAACTAACAAAGAGGTTAACCAGAAACAGAATTAAATACCATTAAAGAACCGCATGTACCTCCTGCAGCTCCACACAGGCACAAGATGGACCAGAAGAAGGCAGTAAGAAAGCACTGAGAGGTGCTGAGCCTTCTCACCCCACCCTTAGCTCCATCCATCCCATCTCCCCATCAATCCCACCTGGCCCATTCCATTCCCTTTGCTGGACACATCCCTTGCAACCTCTCAAGGCTTCCTGTTCATGGAAACATGACAACACCACAACAGGGGCAAACACGAGCCAGGTGAGCAAAGGGCACTGTGCCACATGGTGATGGCACCTTCTGGGAAAAACCCACCCCCAGTTTCCTTAGGAATAAAATCCACAATATCCTGTATAAAACTTTTATTGGGTTCAATATTGCTACCCGGAGCTGTTGGGAAAACCCAACCATCACTTGAGTTTCCTGCTTTTCTTGACCCCAGCGCGGATGCCGGACAGCTCCCCTGCGTATCTGTGCAGTTCCCTCCGCACCTCGCGCACTTGGCCCTTGCGCCGGATCTTGGCGCGCCTGAATTTCTCCCGGTGCTTCACCCTGGGGTTGCGATCGATCTTCCTCCTCTTGGGCGTGAGGCCTTTGTTCTTGATCATCTGATAGGTCACCCCCCTCTTTTTATTGAGATCCTCTCCTTCCAACACCTCTTCTTCAAGCTCGTCTGTGTCTCCAGTTCTCTTCCTCTTGAGTGCCAGCTTCTCCTCCATCATCTTGTAGTACTTCAGAGCAGCCTCCTCATCCGGCTCCGACTCATCCGAGGTTTCAGCAGCAGCAGCCTGGCCATTAGCAAGGGCAGAGGCACCTTTTGGTTTGTTTTTCTTGCCTTCCATGGCGAGAAACGCTCCAAATTTCTTCTCCTTCCGTAACTTCTCCTCCTTCTTGTCATAGTAGTTCCTCAGAAGCACGCGGACTTGTGAGGACAACCTCTGGTCTATAACAGCAAGGTCATTGATGATGTTTCTGTAGGCCACCAGCCGCTCGATGATGGGGTGGCTGTGAACTGGCATCCTCTTGGATTTCAAGACCAGATAGAAGCTGATGTTGGCACAGTAGTTCAGGTAGAGATGATACTTGGTCTGCAAATAGCGACTGCCCTTCCCTTCAGGGATAGTGCCATCTTTGATCATTTGTAGCAGTGGGTGCAGCTCATCCTTGAGCTCCATCAGCTTCACTTCAAAGTCCTCAATCAGCTGCAGGAGCTCAGGGGACTCCTGCTTCAGCAGCTTCAGCTGCTCCTTCTTGGAAAGAGCCTGCAGGTCCTTGTCAATCTTCTGCCCCTTGATATCATGGGCTTTCTGCTGCTCAGCCATGTAGCCCTGGATCATATCCAGCCCATAATCATCCTCCCCCAAGTCCTGCACCAACCGTCTCTGGATGATTTGGGCCTCCTGCTCCTCTTCCTCCTCCTCAGCATCGATTTCCTGCTGGCTACGCTTGCCCTTGGCCTGGGCATCGCTCCCATAGTCCGTGTCATAGTAGAGCTGCTTGCGCTGCCCCCAGGAGAGCTCGTGGGGCAGCTTGGTGTCTGGATGGCGCTCCTCCAGGTCGCTTTCCATGGACAGGTCCCCATCTTCATCTTCAGCCTCATTTTCCTCCTCCTCACCTCCTCCATCCTCCTCACCTCCTCCATCCTCATCTTCTTCACCTTCTCCATCCTCATCTTCTTCTGCGCTGTGTTCCACAAAGAGATTCAACCCCTCTGCCTCCTCCTCTTCTTCTTCCTCTTCACCGTGCTCATCCTCCTCGCTGTCCTCGTCGGACAGCTGCAACCCCAGCACTTCCTCCTCCTCCTCCTCCTCGTTGTCC